TTGTGAGCCGAGGTAGAGGAGAGCTGATGACCCCAACGATCGTCCCGTCATCAGCTGGGCACCCAGACGGCTAGATTCCCCGCTAAACAGTGACAGGCCTACACTGATCGGTCCAATGGCGACAATCGCCACCCTCAATCATCAACGGCAGTCTCAAACGGCAGTCAATCTCTCGCAGTCAAGTGGGTTCTGGCGGAAACCCTGAAATGAACTCACTGTTAGCTCTAGTTTACTTTATCACTGCCCTATCTAAACCCTGTCTGAGATCGAATGAGACTTACTTGTTATACTGCAATAGCGCAACACAGGTGACTAGACCACGTGACCATTTCTGTGACGGACGCGCAGGGACGTCTTGTTTGTCTGAATGCTTCCCCATGACTGAGAGAGAGCCCGCCTCGTGTCCTCTCAAGGCGTTAGCTTAGGCCTACGTGACATATTTTCCGCCTAACTAATAACTCGCTGGGACACCCGTAACATTATTCAGACTGATAAACGATCTATAATAATTTCAAATTCAATAATAGTCCCTTAACTTCATGAATCGCATCATTATTAATTCGGCAAATTACATTTAATATCACTTAGGCCTTGTTCCACAACCTCTTGCTATGTGCAGGGAGCGCTCTCTTCCCTCCGATAACCTTGAAAGCTCAGTATCGCCAATGGCGCGGTGTTTGAAATTACACTGAAATTTCTGAATATTACATATATATATATATATATATATATATATATATATATATATATATATATATATATATATATATATATATATATATATATATATATATATATATATATATATATATATATATATGCCGATAACCACAAGTAAAGAAGAAAACATGAAGTTCCCAAGCGCTACGTGTAATTCACATCTTCAGGGGTGAGTACAGACTAAGGAGAAGTACAAAGCAAGGTGTATATATATATATATATATATATATATATATATATATATATATATATATATATATATATATATATTATATATATATATATATATATATATATATTATATATATATATATATATATATATATATATATATATATATATATATATATATATATATATATACACAGAATAGGTAACACATTTAAGTTCAGTATTTATAGGAAACGTAATAATGTGTGTTCATGCATTCATTATTATTCTGCCCACCATAATAGAGTCAAACAGTCAGTATTTTCATCAATGTTTTTACGTGCCTTGAGAATTTGCAGCCCGGAATTCATTGATGAGGAATATAAATATATGTATAATATTGGCTTGAACCATAAATACACTAGATCTTTCATTGACAAATGCCTGAACATTACTAAGAAATCTTTCTATAGAACCGATCCGAAGCCCACCCATGACCATAAGAATCTCTTAGTATTACCATTTCACAAAAATGTCTCTCAAATTCCTTTACAACTAAAAACCTGGAACGTCAATGTGGCATTTAAGAACTCATGCACTGTTAAGTAAATGTTAATCAAGAACTCCCCCAACAATACAAGTGGCTGCATTCCTTGCAAGAAATGTAATATGTTTTACTTAGGCCAGACAGGTAAATATCTTGTAACTAGACTTAAACAACATAAATATAGTGTTAGGACAGGCCAGGAATCCAATGCTCTGTTTGTTCATTTGAGGGATAATAAGCATTGCATTGACTGGGATAATGCCTCCTCAATATTACCTTGTAATTCAATTGACAGTAGGAACAATTTAGAATATACTCTCATTAAACCAGAAGTCATTTTGTGACACAAGATGATTTGAATACTTCTAAGCTTTTTTCCCAAGCAATGGAATGATTATTATTCCTAACATGAACGAGCAGGGCACTGCTTTCAGATGCTGTTCTGATATTGTACTTATATTAACATAAGAACATAAGAATGGAGGAAACTGCAGCGGGCCTATTGGCCTATACTGGGCAGTCCCGTTTACACCCAACCCCTATTGCTCATATAAGCATCCAACCTATGTTTGAAGCTGTTCAGCGTATTCGAGTTAATGATGATATTTGGTAACTTGTTCCATTCATCCACTACTCTGTTTCCAAACCAGTGTTTACCTATTTCCCCCCTAAATCTAAATTTGTCTAATTTAAAACCATTGTTACGAGTTCGCTCCTGGTTGGATAGTTTGAGTACCTTTGTAATTGTCCCCTTTGTTTAGCCCTGCCTTCCACTTGTACACCTCTATCAGGTCGCCCTTCGCTCTACGTCTCTCGAGGGAGTGCAAATTAAGATGCTTTAACCTGTCTCTATACTCAAGGTTCCTAATGCCCGGGATTAGTCTTGTCATTCTCCTCTGAATTCTTTCCAAGGATTCTATATCCATTCTGTAATACAGTGACCAGAACTGAACTGCGTAATCCAGTTGTGGTCTCACAAGAGCAAGATATAGTTTTAGGATGACCTCTCTAGTCTTGTAACTAACACTCCTTTGTTTGAACCCAAGTACTTTATTAGCCTTGTTACGAGCAAAAACACATTGTTTACTTGGCTTAAGGTTCCTACTTATCATTACTCCTAAATCTCTCTTCCAGTCGGATTTCTCTATGGCATCGTTGTTCATCTGGTATCTGGTTTCCCTGTTTACATCTCCTATACTGAGTACTTTACATTTGTCCACGTTGAATTTCATCTGCCATTTTTCAGACCATTCGAAAAATTTGTTTAGATCTTCCTGTAGTTTTGCTGAGTCCTCGTCAGATTTTATAACATGTCCTATTTTAGTGTCATCAGCAAATTTACTTATGTTGCTGTCTATGCCGTTATCTATGTCGTTTATGTATATAATAAATAATAATGGTCCAAGTACTGAGCCTTGGGCCAAGGTTAAAGTCGCCTACTATACAGACTTTGTTGTGTATGGAAGCCCTGCGCATTTCATCCCAGATAAGTCTCTCATTGACTCTATCAAGATTGGGAGGTCTATATATTAGTCCTGTGATTAATTTTTCCTTACCGTCGATCAATTCTATCCAAATTGTTTCTATATTCTGCTTAGTTTTTATTTCACACTTCAGATTATCCCTAACATAGATTGCTACTCCGCCTCCTTTCCTGGTCTGCCTATCGGTATGGAACAGTTTGTAACCCGCAATTTGGTATTCGACTGGTAACTCACGTGTGTCTAGGTTGATCCATGTTTCAGTGAATGCTATTATATCGATTTTTTCGGTACATACCAAGGCCCTAATATCATCCATTTTGTTTCTCATACTTCTACTGTTCACGTAGTATACATTTAAGTTAGTCGTGTTCTGAGTCCTCCCTTTACCGCGTTTAGTTTTAAACTCCCTCTCTAATTTAGTTTTGTCATCATTCCTAACACTATTTCCCTGTAATCTTTCACTTTGTTTACCCTCTTCCACTGCAGTCTCCTCCACCCCCTTGCTCATATGTTCTCCTAGCAGTTTAAAGACTTCGATATCTTTTGAACTGCCCCCTCTAGAGCTCCAGCCAGGGTTGCTACTCCATCCCTAGACAGGTGCACCCCATCCCTAGCATAAAGGTCCCTTCTGCCATAGAAGTTGTCCCAGTTGTCAATGAATGGGACTGATATTGACTTGCAATATCTGCCAAGACGGTCGTTGACACCAACTGCCCTTGACAACCATTCACTCCTTCTAGGCAGGACACCCCATATGATAGGGATCCCTCCCTTAGTCCTAATACGATATATAGCTGCCTTGAACTTATCAAGAAGCTCCTCGCTCCTACACCGGCCAATATCATTGCCTCCTGCACTGAGGCAGATAATGCGTTTGTTCCCATTACCAGACAAGATATTGTCCATCCTGTCAATTCTATCCCCCACCGCAGCTCCTGGCAAACACACCCTCATCCTATTTTTGTTTTTACCACAAAAGGCCCTGTCCATGTACCTTACCTGTGAGTCACCAACAATTAAAGTTTTTATACCTTCCTTGTCATCCCTGTCCCTGACTGTACTAACGTCCAATTCGTCTATCAAGGGACTAAACGGGTTGGTACACTTAGCTGTTGTTGTCGTTGTTGTCGTATCCTTGGTGTACTTCTTCACCACCAGCTTCGTCTTCCCACTACTCACCACCTTCCACTCGCTTGAGTTTTCGTCAGACACTGGCTCCCCTTTTAATTTCGTCAGCTCTTCCTTTAATTTCAGGTTCTCCAACGTGGTCTGATTCTGAGCTGCAATGTTTTTTCCTGTCTGTCCTACATAATTACCATTACATTTGCTGCATGGAATACAATAAACACTTCCATTTACCTTCAAGCTTGGGCTATTTTTTATCAACATATTAGTAATGGTTGAGTCATACTTGAAAACAACATTAGTATATAGAAGTTTGAGGGACCGAACTAACGGGACAAATTCATTACGATAGGGCAGAGTCAAAATATTCTTAAGTGTAGGAATTTGCCTGGTTTGATGTTAGCGACACATGTTAGGTGTAAAAAAAAATATATATATATATACTTGTATATACTGTATATATATATATATATATATATATATATATATATATATATATATATATATATATATATATATATATATATATATATATATATATATATATATATATATATGTATACATATATATATATATATATATATATATATATATATATATATATATATATATATATATATATATATATATATATATATATATATATATATATATATATATATATATATATATACATATATATTTTTTTTTTTACACCTAACGTAATTGTCGCTGGCTTGCATCCGGGGCACCCCCATTCCACCCAGCTTCGAATATGTACGTAGTTTTACAGTTAAAGTTCCGATATTTACAGTCGTTTGTATTGTACATACAGAACAATATACAGCTACAGTGAAACTTCCAAATAACGTATTTCTCTCTTCATGTAATCCGTTAAATGGGGATTTCACATCTAACGGACTTTCCACTCCAAATAGTCCGTGAAAAAGAGGTTTCAATAAATATATTTCTTTCTCTTCATTCTTCTAACAAGGTGTCAGTTACGAGCTGTAGAGAAGCGACACAATTCTCGACGTAGACGAATTACCCAGAAAAAAGCCAGAACTGTGGTGTCCCCGGACGAGGCCCGACCCTACACGCCTCCTGAGGATACAGGTAAACCTCAACACCCTGCTTGTATGAGTTGTATCCCCTCACTCTACTTAAACTTCTGGCACAGAGACACTTCCCCCTAAAATAGTCCATTAATTATTCTTCTTATTATTAGTAGTAGTATTAGTATTAATAGTAGCATCATTAATTGTAATATGATTATCACCATTATGTCTCACATTCAGGGAGTGAGGTGGGTACCACAGAAGCCAGTACAAGCAGTACAGCTAGTGGGGGCATCACCAGCAACGGTCAACCCAGCAGCAGCAGCACCCACCACACGGAGGAGTCAGATGAAGACAGCAAGGATGCCCGCCTTACCGCCTCCATCAGTGGGAGTACCTCCAGTGATATAGACTCTATGATCATCCAACACCGTCTCGATGTTCAACAGGAGAGATACGCCCATAAGCGCCATCGTCAATACGCCTCCGGGGAGTCGTGTAATGGACCATCAGATCTCGAAGTTGCAGCAGTATTAGGGGTGGATATGAGACCTGCAGAGCATAGACGGGAGAGACCTCGCAGCAAGTCTACAAGCAGGGACACGTCCTCGCTACTACAATCGAATTCACACTCGGACAAGGTTAAACGTTTCTGGGAAAACGTGGAAGAATCGAGTAATCGACATAGTCATTATATTTCTTCAAGAAGAAGCAGTCGTCAAAGTAACTTCAGTACCTCGGAGGGCAAGTCAGACCGCACAAGCAGTCAAGTCAGCCTGAGGGACTCACAAGGCAACAGAAGACGCCCATCTCGCATATTTAGTAGTCTAGAAGGCCAGTTAGATGATAACTTAAACGAACGGTCTTCCTCTCATCAGGATTCAATCGAGGAATTCAGCAATCGACCAGGATCCTCCAAGAGCAGAAGAAGACAACGTAGTTTAGGAAAGAGGGGCAGCAAAAGGAAAACCCAGGAAAAGGATGATAAAGTTGACAGCTTTTATAGTCAACAGGTGTTTACTTCTTCGTCTGGCAGCGAGGCTCAAGTGGCTTCAGGCAATGCCACCGAAGTCTCTTACGGGAGTTCTTGGGAAGTGGAGGACGAGGAAGAAGAGAAAGAGATGGAGGAGGAGAAGCAAGAGATGGAGGAGGAGAAAAAAGAGGTGGAGGAGGAGGAGAAAGAGATGGAGGAGGAGGAGAAAGAGATGGAGGAGGAGGAGGAGAAAGAGATAGAGGAAGAAGAGAAAGCGATAGAGGAAGAAGAAAAAGACATAGAGGAAGAGGAAAAAGCGATAGAAGAAGAGGAGAAAGAGACAGAGGAAGAGGAGAAAGAGACAGAGGAAGAAAAAAAAGAGACAGAGGAAGAGGAGAAAGAGACAGAGGAAGAAAAGAAAGAGACAGAGGAAGAGGAGAAAGAGACAGAGGAAGAAAAGAATGAGACAGAGGAAGAGGAGAAAGAGACAGAGGAAGAGGAGAAAGAGAGAGGGGAAGAGGAGAAAGAGATAGGGGAAGAGGAGAAAGAGATAGGGGAAGAGGAGAAAGAGATAGAGGAGGATGAGGAAAAGGACATAGTGGAAGAGGAAGAGGAAACGGATATAGAGGAAGAGGAAAAAGACATAGTTGAAGAGGAGAAAGAGATAGAGAAAGAGGAGAAAAAAGAAAACGAAGAGAAACAGAAAGACAAAGAAGAAAAAGAGAAAGATACGGTAATAGAAGATACAATTATGGAAAACACAGTTAACGATGAAGCTGAAGAAAATGAAGGCGCTGAAGAACTGGTAGAATATGACGAGCAAAGTGCGGGAAGCGGCAAGAGAGAGGTTATAGAAGCATCGATCTCAAGTGAGGTGAAATATGAGGGAGGCATTATCAAGGGCGAAGAGAAGGCGGAGGAGGAAGCGGTGGTGGACTCTGTAGAAGAACCCGAGAACCAAGATGAGTCGGAAGAAATTACCACGAAAGTAAAAAATAAGTCAGGATGGAAGAGTGAAGATGAAAACACAATAAGTGAAGATGTGAGAGAGGACTCTGACATTGTTACTCTTTGTTGCAGCGAGGCGGAAGTAGTCGAGGAGGATGGAGAAAAGAGAGAGTGAATGTAAATAGGAAGGAGGTAGAGTATATGAAGAAAAAGATATGGATAAATAAATTAATAAGTGGAAAAATGAGAGATGATTTACAGATAATCCTATTTAATTATTCATTCCGTTGTTTATTTGGATTTAATGTTTGCTATCAAGATAAAAAGACAGATGAAGGAATGAGTACCAATAAGAAACTAGAAGGAAGGTTGTGCTATCATGCTGGAAAGGAAGCAAGGGAGCGTAATTCCACTCCAACTAATAAAAGGGACTATGATGAACTACCTCTCAGTTTGTGTGGGGAACACTATGGTCACAAGATGGCGCTGGCCATCAGTCAGAGTGGTGTATAACTGGCCGGTCTTATCCTAACCTAATCCTTTACCACAAGCCTGCATCTCGAGATACTTCTAAGTGCCTTACTTTATCCTCTTTGCCATTTGAGCAGTCATTCACGTTTTTGTTATGCATTGTTGGCAACTATCAAACATGTACAGATTCCAAAATGTATGAGAATCTGCACCACTGTTGATAAAATCTCGTCTTTAAATTCACACTTGCTGTCATAACACTGGCAGGTTTTCCAGTTCACAAACATCACTCCCAAAAAGTTTCCCCTGACATTATTTTGAAGTTGTGGCTTTTTAAAGATTTTGTTTTTTACTCCAAAACTTTAAAGCCCTGCCCAGTTTAAATAAGTAAATATGTTTGGCAATTTTGTCAATTAAAATACTCGAAAATACATTTCCGACGGAAACACAATAGAAGAAAGTGTTTTAGAATCTTCTAAAACTACAGATTTCAAAACTTAAAACCCTAAAATTCACTACATGACCAGAACGATAATTTTACCCTAATTTCAACTGAACATTGGTCTGGCTACCGGTGTCAATAAATGTTGAGTACGTGTGGGGCGGGAGAGCCAACCGGTTATAATGAGGTTGATTTGCACCAGTTACGTATGGTTGTGATTGGTGGGGGCGGGAGAGCCAACGGGTTATAATGAGGTTGATCTGTCAGTTACGTAGGGTCGTGATTGTGCTATATCTGTCACAGGTCCGGGAGGTGGAGGGGGTAAACTATGGAAAGCGTAATCTGCTCGTTCCAACTCCCAAATAATTTGTGCTTTCGCAGTACATGTTTTTATCGTACCTGATGGGTCCACACGTGGTGCTAACCAGGCTGGCAACCCTGATATGTACATCGGTACAAGGAATGCGTCATAGGCCTCTTGTAAAAGTTGGGGAGCAACGTTAGCATTGTTTAATACTGAACGGAGAAGTGTGGGGAAGACGTCAGGCGTCTCATTATCTAACATGTGACGGCGAGCATCAGCGCCAGATAGTTAGTCAAGAATTTTTTGGAGGAAAGTTGTCTCGAATTGGTCATAATGACAGATCCTCGTGAAGGGCTCCTCTGTTGGAAGACTACTACCAGCCCCACGACATAATGAGAGAGCGGCGGTCACACGTTCACGACCCTTATATAAAGCCCGGGTACCTCTTGCACTAATTTCTAGCCATGTCTCAATAGCCTGGTTCTTCTCCAGAATACTTAAGTGTCTTAGCATATCTGGATTAAATACCGGTACGGTTTTCCGAATTGGCGGTGCGGACTAGTGAGCACCTGAAAGAGCATCAGTCAAGCTAAGTTGGGGGGAAACAGGGAGAACATTGATAGCAAGAAAATCATCATGGGTCCTAGACGATACGACATCAGGTGCCCGTGACACGGGGGACGCAGTCACAACACGCAGTCTACGAGTAACCCGCGGTGGTGTTCAATTGCAACTACGTGAACGGCGAATAGTCTTGTCATCGGGGCGTACACTATCCGTCCTTGAACTATCTGAGCTATTGACAATCCTGGCACGGGTGCTGGTCACGAAGCGGCGTGGCGACATAGTGCAATACTCCCACGATCTACCATCACTCACAATTTGTTAAACTATCAACAAGTTGCTTCTACGTCACAATACTGAAACTGACACTAACTTAACTCAATAGGGTATCTGAAGCTATCAATAATTGTATGCGCGCCACTCATCATCTAGATATCGGTGAGGTAACAAACCACCTACAGTATTTGCCAGACAAATGAACTGAACATATCACGTACCAGGAAGCTTTTCAACTCACATGAAATGAATTTGGCGGAAAGTAGAGTCGTCGGCTCACTTGCATCTCAAATTTCGGCACAGACGGCAGTTAGTTAGATGGAGGATTTAACACGTAATGGACCCTATATATGACACAATTTCCTTCCCATATACTAGTGTTATTAGTTAACAGAGGTCTCACTGTATAAGGGAGGAAGTTTGTCTGATAAATAGTGTTAGTTATAATACAGTACCTCTGTTTCCTTGTAATATTCACCTAACTATTTTTTACAGCCAAAGCTTCTACTTTATATTGTAGGCAGCTTGTTAAGACAGTCCACCAGCGTAAGTTCTGTACAGTAAACTGCTCATGTCTTAAAGTTGCTCAATTCATATATATATATATATATATATATATATATATATATATATATATATATATATATATATATATATATATATATATATATATATATATATATATATATATATATATATATATATATATGAAATATGTTTCACTTAGGCCAGACAGGTAAAGATCTTGTAACTAGACTTAAACAACATAAATACAGTGTTAGGACAGGCCAGGAATCCAATGTTCTATTTGTTTATTTGAGGGATAACAAGCATTGCATTGACTGGGATAAAGCCTCCTCAATATTACCTTATAATTCAATTGATAGTAGGAACATCATAGAATCTAGTCCCATTAAACATACCGAAGCATTCAACAAGAATTTGAGTAATGGCATGTACAAACTGGACAATTTTGTAATTAAGAAGATTTGTAACCAGGTGAGAAGGTTGGATTACCTTACCCTCTGACCTGACTACCGACCGTTGTGGTGCTATTTAAAGATTAGTAGGGTCATTACCTAATACCTGACCATTGTGGACCTGATCTCACCCTCCTCTGTATATATAGACCTTGTTTTGTACTTCTCCCTAGTCTGTACTCATCCCTGAAGATGTGCATTACACGAAAGCGCTTGGGAACTTCTCGTTTTTTCTTTCCTTGTGGTTATCAGCATATACCTAGATTATGCCCACCTACAGTGATTTACTTGCATATATATATATATATATATATATATATATATATATATATATATATATACTCTCTTATATATATATATATATATATATATATATATATATATACAGAGGAGGGTGAGATCAAGTCCACAATGGTCAGGTATTAGGTAATGACCCTACTAATCTTCAAAAGCACCACTGGCAGTCAGTAGTCAGGTCAGAGGTTAGCTGTTGGCAACTTCTCGCACGAACCCAAATGTTTGAAATTACAAGGTAAAACATATTACATTCCTTGCAAGGAACCTTATAAATGCAGCCACCTGTGTTGTTGGGGGAGTTCTTGATTAACATTTGTTTAACAGTGCATGAGTTTTTAAATGCCACATTGACGTACCAGATTTTTGTTGTAAAGGAATTTGAGAGAAATTTTGGGGAAATGGTAATACTAAGAGATTCTTATGGTCATGGGTGGGCTTGGGATCGGTTCTATAGAAAGATTTCTTAGTAATGTTAAGGCATTTGTCTATGAATTAAAAAAAATCTTCACTTTAAATTTTGTGTCTGTGAGATTCCTAAGCTTGGAGAAGATCGTGCCCGATCGTGCTCCCGTTAGAGACCAAGGAAAATGGCCGCTTTGGATCGTTGTGTCGTGGGGGAAGAGGAGGGGAGTGTGGGGAAAGACGACCTCCTTGCCACTCTGTTAAGGCAGCTGGGGCAGTTGAGGAGTGAGGTTGACACTCTAAAGGGGGAAAATGAAGCCCTCAGGACGGAACTCCTTCAGGTAGGTGTCCTGCCTAGCAGGACACCTGCGAAGGAGGAGCGGGCGTGGAGAGTGGTTGTCTCCAAGAGGACTAGGGTCAGGCTCAGGAAAGCTGACCAGGGTGTGGAGTGTAGTAACCCTTACCAGGTGCTACATGAAGCTGGCGAGGAAGAGAAGAGGCAGGACGGTATGGATCAAGGAGAGGAAAGGGCAGTTGTACAAACCCTGCCCACAGGTAAGGTCGTGGTAGTTGGTGATAGCCAGGTAAGGTTTATGGATAGAGCTTTTTGTGCGAGAGATAGGAAACGTAGGACTAGGGTGTGTTTTCCTGGGGCTGGGATAGGGTATGTAGCCGAGAGGTTAGACGGGGTTTTGTCAGGGGAGGGTACCAATCCAGTTGTGTGTCTTAGTGTGGGAGGAAACGAAATAGGTAAGGTTAGGAGTGAGGAACTTTTCAAGAGGTATAGGGAGACGCTGGGGAAGATTAGAGATAGGGGAGGGATCCCGATAGTATGTGGTGTCTTGCCTAGAAGAGGGGTTGGTCGTGAATGGCTGTCCAGGGCAATTGCTATAAATTGCCGACTGGAAAAACATTGTGCAAACAATGGTTGGGCATTCATTGATAACTGGCAACGATTCTATGGCAACGACTACCTTGTACTGTCGCGACGGAGTACACTTGTCTCGTGAGGGGGTAAAGACGTTGTCTGCATCCCTGGAGCGTGAAATTGTCACTCCGAAGGGGGGGTTTCGCCAGTAGAGAGGGGTCGGGGAAAGTGGGAGTCAAAAAACAAGCAGGTCCTGGGAATTAAATTAATTGCTCAGGACAAGGGGTAAAACAGGACCAGGGAAGAGTAAGTTTAAATGTATATTATACAAACAGTAGGGGCAGTTCAAAAGATATCGAAGTCTTTAAACTGCTAAGGGAACATATGGGCACGGGGGTGGAGGCGACTGCAGTGGGAGCGGGTAAACAAAGTGAAAGACTACAGGGAAATAGTGTTAGGAATGATGACAAAACTAAATTAGACAGGGAGTATAAAACTAAACTCGGTAAGGGGAGGACTCGGAACACGACTAACTTAAATGTATACTACACGAACAGTAGAAGTATGAGAAACAAAATGGACGATATTAGGGCCTTGGTATGTACCGAAAAAATCGATATAATTGCATTCACTGAAACATGGATCAACCTAGACACACGTGAGTTACCAGTGGAATACCAAATTGCGGGTTACAAACTGTTCCATACCGATAGGCAGACCAGGAAAGGAGGCGGAGTAGCAATCTATGTTAGGGATAATCTGTAGTGTGAAATAAATAAGGAAATAAAAACTGAGAGGAATACAGAAACAATTTGGATAGAATTAAGCGACGGTCGGGAAAAATTAATCACAGGAGTAATATATAGACCCCCCAATCTTGATAGCGTCAATGAGCGACTTATCTGGGATGAAATGCGCAGGGCTTCCATACACAACAAAGTCTGTATAGTAGGCGACTTTAACCTTGGCCAAAGAGATTGGACTGACCTTACGGGTAACTCAGAATCACAGGATTTTCTCGAGACGATCCAGGACTGTTTCCTAAGTCAACATATAACCGAACCCACACGGGGTAATAATATACTGGACTTAGTTTTGTCGAACAGAGAAAACCTAATTAGCAATGTCGAGGTAGGGAACGAACTTGCAAACAGCGATCACAAAGAAATTAGATTCCAGTTAGATTTTCA